TTCTTCTAGGTCTTTATCTGTTTTACATTGTCCTCCTTCTGATTTTCCTCTAAGACCCCCTGGGTGAACCCCTCCTCAGTTTAAACATATAGTTCAATACAAACAGTTCAGTTCCCATGCAATATATTAATCTCAGTACTTTTGCCGCTCTCACTCATCCTCTTATCCCCAATACGGCTTTTCCCCGTATGAGATCTCTGTCATATACGAAGAAAAGGGCTTCTCTGAAAAACATTTCCGAACAGGTATACAACTTCTCCTCCGTGTAAGATCTCTGATGTGTGTGAAGACTAGGCTTGACTGAAAAGTATTTCCCACACTCAGGACAGACATATGGCTTCACCTGTATAAGATCTCTGATATATGTAAAGTCTAGACTTATCTGAGAAAACATTTCCCGCACTTAGAACAAGGAATAGCATCTTCCTCATGTGAGGTCTCTGATATACAGTCAGGTCCATAAATATTGGGACATGGACACAATTCTAACATTTGAGGCTCTATACACCACCACAATGGATTTGAAATGAAACGAACAAGATGTGATTTAACTGCAGACTGTCAGCTTTAATTGGAGAGTATTTACATCCAAATCAGGTGAACGGTGTATTCACTCTGGTGAAGTCTTCTCTTGCTTGTTGACTTTGACACACATACACCTACCTCCTGGAGAGTGTTCTTGATCTGGCCAAGGGTGAAGGGTGTTTTCTTCACCAGGGAAAGAATTCTTCGCTCATCCACCACAGTTGTTTTCCGTGGTCTTCCAGGTCTTTTGGTGTTGCTGAGCTCACCGGTGCGTTCCTTCTTTTTAAGAATATTCCAAACAGTTGTTTTGGCCATGCCTAATGTTTTTGCGATCTCTCTGATGGGTTTGTTTTGTTTTTTCAGCCTAATGATGGCTTGCTTCACTGATAGTGACAGCTCTTTGGATCTCATCTTGAGAGTTGACAGCAACAGATTCCAAATGCAAATAGCACACTTGAAATGAACTCTGGACCTTTTATCTGCTCATTGTAATTGGGATAATGAGGGAATAACACACACCTGGCCACGGAACAGCTGAGAAGCCAATTGTCCCATTACGTTTGGTCCCTTAACAAGTGGGAGGCACATATGCAAACTGTCGTAATTCCTACACCGTTCACCTGATTTGGATGTAAATACCCTCAAATTAAAGCCGACAGTCTGCAGTTAAATCACATCTTGTTCATTTCATTTCAAATCCATTGTGGTGGTGTATAGAGCCAAAACATTTTTGAATTGTGTCCATGTCCCAATATTTATGGACCTAACTGTATATGCAGACTGGACTTCTGTGAAAAACATTTCCCACACTCTGAACAAGGGTATGGCTGCTACCTCTTTTGTGTTATCACTGGTATATATAAAAATAGGACTTGCATGAAAAACATTTCCCGCACTCAAAACAGGAATATTTCCCCCCCATGTGAGATCTCTGGTTTCTACAGAGATTGAACTTCTCTGATAGACTTTCCCGGGTGTGAGGGGTGAGGTGGCTCCAGGTACTCTCTTCTGAGGAACATTGCACTCGACATTCCCCTCACACAATGAGTGGATTGCAGGGGGGGTTCACCCAGCCCGTTTCAGCGTGTCTCCAGCTGCCACGGTCCTGTGTGCAGGAGGAAGAGAGCCGGCATCTCCCTTGCTCCAAGAAACGCTGGCCGGCTCCTCTGCCTCCCAGAGCTCCCTTGTGGCAGATCACCTGATCGCCCGGCGTCCACTGATCTCCGGGGAACACACAGCTTTGGGCCGAAAGCACAGGAAGACCCGCCACTCCCGGAGGTCCTCGGTCCATGCCAGGTAGGCCCCCCTCTCCCCAGCTAGTCTCTCCAGGGCTTCCCGCACATCTCTCCCCTTCTCGGCAGGACACTGGAGGTGCTTGGGAGCCAGGAGCCCTCACATCGAGCTCCCGCTCCAAGCCATGATCAGGCTCCTTCCTGTCTTGCCTGATCTTGTTCCAGATTCTATGGTCCCAGCTGTTCAGAGCACCGTGTGTTTCCTCAGCCTCAGTAACAAGTTGCTACAGGAAGCGGTGACTAAGGCACAAGCGGACAATAAAGGGGCGTTTGACAAGAGAAGGGGAGAACTGTTTCTTCAGCCTGGCGATAGGGTATGGCTGTCTACGGCAAATTTGAAGCTAGCCTGTCCATCAAAAAAGCTTGCAGCTAAATTTGTGGGCCCGTTTCCGGTAAGAAGGAAGCTCAACGAAGTATCTTATAAATTATCTTTACCTGAATCGTTCAAGATCCACCCAGTATTTCATGTATTGCTGTTAAAACCTGCAGTCGCAGATCCTTTTCAAAATAGAAAATCTGGCCCACCTGAACCTGTAATTGTTAATGGGGATGAGGAATATGAGGTGAAAGCCATTGTGGACTGCAGAAAAAGGAGGAACCAGTTGCAATACCTTATTAAATGGAGGGGGTACGTTCCAGAGGAGAATTCCTGGGAACCTGAACAGAATGTTCATGCCAAGGAATTATTCATGCCTTTTTAGTCATCCACAGAAAAACAGCTAATTGGCAATTTGGAGGCTGCCTGTAGGGAGGGGGCAATGTTATGGACATGTTGGCTATGGCATAGCAGAGGCTCGTGGCTGCACGCAAATGCGCAGACATGGGCCTGCAGGGGCTCGTACTGTTGTGCGTGGCCATGCGCATTGGCTAATTCTGGTGCCCATTGGCCTATATAGGTGCAGCAGCTGCACTAGTGAATTGCTGTCTTATCTGCAGCTCCCCCCCCGTATTCCTGTGCCTGATACCTATGTTGACCCCAGCTTGCTTCTTGGACTCCACTTCTGCATCTGCCTGATCTGCTCCCACCATCACTGACCTTGGCTTGTGACCCGACCATTCTTCTGCCAGCCGTTCATGCCTAATCCGCTTATCTGTTATCGACCCGGCTTGTCTGACCCTGCATACAGTCTGCTACCAGCCTGCTCTGCTACCAGCCTGCTCTACCACCAGCCAGTCCAGATGTGACGTCTGCCTGCTGCCAGCCTGCTCTGCTGCCAGCCAGTCCAGCCATCCCTTCTGCCAGTGAAGTGCCATCAATTCCCACACAGACTGCAGGACTGACCAGGCACTCATACCCTGCCATGCTCTTGTGGTTGCTGTCTCACCTTCAGTGACCCTTGAGCCGGAGCCGTACGAGAGGCCTTCCTCTGCCATCAGGCTCACAAGTAAGGTACGGGCCCTGATTTACTATTGTGCCTAGGCGCATTTCCGTGGGCGAACGTCTATTTTTTTAGTGGCGACCATCTACTTTTACACCGCAAAGAGATTTACTAAAGAGAGCGTCAACAAGTAGACACCAAATTGAATTTACTAACGAGACACAGCCCAGGAATCAGACTCAAAAAGCAGACTTGCTAAGAGGCATGTCTAACACCATGAAAAATCACTGCAGAAGCATGTTCACATTGAAATTTGATTTGCCAAAAATCAGTACTTCACTTTAAACAATATCTGCCATTTCCAAAAAAATGTAAAATGTGTTAAAAATAGTTTTTTTTTAAGCAAGTCGACACAGTGAAAAACTAGACTCTTTTGGAGCGTCTTTGGCCGATATAAATGCGCATGTGCAGAACACATTTTAGACGTCCTCTGTGGGCGCTTGCTTTTTAGCCACTGTTCAATAGTAAATCTGTGTGGAGTCCTCTGACAGACGGCACTCGGTCGCGTCTACTGTGTTTAACAAACAGCACTAGGCATATCTTTATGTATTCTAATTTGATTTCCTTAGTTCTATTGATTCTATTTTTGTTTCTTATCCTTTGATTATTTCTGTAATGATTTTCCTTTTTTTGAAGGTCTAGATAATATTTATTTTGACAGCTGAATGTAAAAATAAAGGTCTGCAATAAAACAAAACTGCGTAGGGGTCCCCCCTCCCATCCATACCAAGCCCTTCAGGTCTGGTATGGATATTAAGGGGGAACTCCACACCGAAATGAGAGAAAAAAAACAGCGTGCGGTTCCCCCTAAAATCCATACCAGACCCTTATCCGAGCATGCAGCCCGGCAGGTCAGGAAAGGGGGGGGGACCGAGCGCCCCCCCCCCTAACTGAACCATGCCAGGCCACGTGCCCTCAACATGGAGGGGTGCTTTGGGGCAGGGGGGCTCCCCCCCAAAGCACCTTGTCCCCAAATTGGCCGATCGGCAAAATCGGATGATTTTTTTTTCCAAATTTACCGAACAAAATGTGCCAAAATCCTGAAAAAACAGCTGACCAATTATCCCACTAATGGAAGAGGCCCTTGTCCCCATCAACATGGGGACAAGGTGCTTTGGGGGGGAGCCCCCCCTGCCCCAAAGCACCCATGTTGAGGTTATGTGGCCTGGTATGGTTCAGGAGGGGGGGGCGCGCGCGCTCACTCGTCTCCCCCCCTTTCCTGACCTGCCGGGCTGCATGCTTGGATAAGGGTCTGGTATGGATTTTGGGGGGAACCCCATGCTGTTTTTTCTTTAATTTCGGTGTGGAGTTACCCCTTAATATCCATGCCAGACCCGAAGGGCTTGGTATGGATGGGAGGAAGGACCCCACACCATTTTTTTTTTTTTTTTTTTAAGAATTCCCAACAATGCTTTTACATTCAACTGTCAGTGGGGAACTTTGGCGACAGCTGAAACATGATAAAATTACTCATGCGGGATTTTAGTAGCGACAACCATGTGTTAATGTTTCCGCTGTCAGTGGGGTTCCCCACTGACAGCTGAATGTAAAATAATTCCCGTAAATTAAATAAATAATAAAAAAAAAAACTGCGTGGGGTCCCCCCTCCCATTCATACCAAGCCCTTCGGATCTGATATGGATTAAGGGGTAACTCCACGCCAAAATTATTCTGATAAGCCCCCGTGCCCCAAAGCACCCCCCCATGTTGAGGGCGTGTGGCCTGGTATGGTTCAGGAGGGGGGCGCTCGTTCGTCCCCCCCCCCCCCCCCCCCTTTTCCTGCATGCTCAGATAAGGATCTGGTATGGATTTTTGGGGGGGCCCCATGCAGTGTTTTTTTTTTTTTTTTTCAGCATGGAGTTACCCCTACCTGAAGGGCTTGTTGTGGATGGGAGGGGGGACCCCATGCCGTTTTTTATTTATTATGGTGCTGGTTTTTAAATGTAATTCTCCCTTTTTTTTTTTTTCTTCACTATAGCTCAGAAATTCAGTTGTCCCTTCCCCCAGCTAAAAGAGTTTTCTTGGAATTTATATTCCTTTAGGGAATGTATTACTTTGAGTTTATTAAAAGATACAAAGTTTTCTGTAACTTCGGGGAAAGTGACTTATAAGCTTGTGAACTATAGTGAAGGAAAAAAAAAAAGGCTGGCATTTGAAAATCAGCGCTGACTTACACTTTGTATTGCAAAAAAAAAATTAACAATTGTGTAAACCGAGGCATTATTTTCAATGGATTTTCATTCGTAAACCAAAAAAATTACGTTAACCGAGGCGTTGGTAAACCTAGGTACGCCTGTACTAGTATTGCAATCCTTTGTATTGGGATACATAGAACCAACATACATCTGAATTGGCAACATAGCACAACATTTGTGTCACATTTGAGATATCTGGCTAGTTACACTGACCTTGCCCAGGGACTTAAGGTTGATTCACACCACAGAAATACAGGTGGGATTAGTGTTCAACAGCTCCGTGGATTAGTGGTTAGCACTGCTGCCTCACAACGCTAGGGTTGTCGGTTTGAATCCCAACCATGCCAATGAATTTGGATGATCTCCGTGTGACTACCCTAACATACATGTGCTGGTGGCAGCATCTTTGCTTTCTGTCTAAATGATCCCTAGAATGTGAATTAGAATGAGGCCTTGTCTGTTCAAACACCTTTAAAGTTGCACCTTATGTGAATGTCAAACGATGGAATGAGATAAGGGCCTGGACTAATGATTGATTGGATAATGCTGGTTTGCACTCCACCCCCTTTTGGGAAGGTTTGTCAAACCATGAGAAGAGTGAGCGAGGGAGAAAAAGGATTTTAAAAAAAAATTAATAAAATGACATGGAGCCCCCCCCCCCCCCCCCCAATCAATAATAGACCCTTATCCGAGCATGCAGATACCGCATGCCTTCAAAGATTTATTTCCTTTGTTGAATTGCCTGCTTGGTTCACACTAGATGTGATTTAAATTGTGCTTTTTGTTGGCAATTTCACCGTGTTTTCTGTAGATTTACCACTGAGTTATTGAATTTTCAATTGTGTTTTGCCTTGCGGTTTCTATTGTAGTCTATATATGAAATCGCTACAAAATGCTGAAAAAGGTTAGACAAGAACGACTTTTGAAATTGTGCTGCAGCAAATCGCTTATGTTAAGACACTCACATCCACATTCATTAGATCCGATATCCGGTACAATTTCAATTCCCAAATCACACCTAAAATCGTGCACCCTGGATGCGACTTGGCATGCGATTTGCATGACATGCGACTTGCAAATCGTATGCCCAGTCGCACCCTATTGTCTGCTATTAGAGCAGTCACATGGGTGCGTTTCCGATACGGATTTCTAAAGTAGTACATGTACTAATTTTGTGGAGATTTGCATAGATCTCTGTGTCAGATGTCTTGCAAATCGCAAGGAAATCCGCATCGTCACTGTACGTTGCACAATTTCTAAATCTGCTTTGATGTGACCGGGGTGTAAGGCCTTTTTAGGTTTGATTTCCTGAGTGTTTTTCCGATTTATACTAGCAAAAGTGAATTGACATTTTTAGTATTGCATGCAAGATGTGGTCATGTGACTGCCTTAACTCATGCGATAATCTGGAGTGAATTGTGCCCATAGGGCCAAGAAATATTGCCAATAGGGTTCCCTTTTACATCCCTGTTCAATGTTCTGTTGTATGCTGCACAGGTACACTTCACTGTGGCTTTCTTTCTGACTCTGATTTGTGGGGCCTGTATACCAAGGGTTAACACAGGTGGGAAGAGAATTAATCAGGTGCAAACACTTTCTCTGACCAAATGAATGACAGTGGTGGGTGTGGCCTACCTTATATAAAGAGATGCAGTAGTGGCTAATTTGCCTTGTACAGACCACATTATTTTGTGCAAGTCCTTGTCTGTGTTGGTTTGGGGGAGGAAGAGATATTGTGGTGAATTGCCCCAGGCCACACTCACACTGTGTTTTGATGTGGGCTGTAAATGTTTTGCATGTTCTTCCTTCTAAGGTGTGTTTGTGTGTTGTTGTACAATCATTGTGTGTTTATTATCTTTGCATTGTAATCCTGCTCTTCCCAAGTTTGCTTTATTTAGAATGAAATGCAGTTTTCAGACAAACATGATGAGAAATGTATGTGTGGGGGATTTGGGGGAGGTGGGAGGTGTTATTTTTGGCATGTATGCATTTTTATATTGATATTTTGATCTGCTGATCTGCAACTTGTTTTGTGGATAAGCCTAAGTGATTCATATTAACCATTTGTTTCCTGCTGTAACCTGTGAAAGCACAGTTCATTAGAAGTATAGTCTTTTAGATTGTAAGCTCTTATGAGCAGGACTGTTCTATTTTAGCAACATCATTCCTGCTTTTTTTTTTTTTTTTTTTTTTTTTCCAAGATATCGAATGTACCTACTTGTTGCTGTCCAAATAAATGTGGAATGTGTATTTGATCAATAAACATTTGGACTATGTATTTTTGGGGGGGGGGATCATTTCATGTTTTAGTTGAATGTAGCACAGTGGCTAAATGGTTAGCACTTCCACCTGGCAGTACTAGGGTCGTTTTGTTCGATTCCCAACCATGGCACCTCTAAAGACATGCTGGTAGGTTAATTGGATCCTGTCAAAATTGGCCCTAGTATATGTATGAATGTAAGTTAGGGACCTTAGATAGTATGCCCCTTGAGGGTTAGGGACTGATGTGAATTTACCACATATATATGTAAAGTGCTGCATAGATTGACAGCGCTATATAAGTATCTGAAATAAATAAATGTACTAGCACCCCTAACACTTTTTTGCTAGCTATGTAATATGCCCAAATCTTCCTTGTTAGAGTGCACATATGCAAGTATGTCCAAACTAACAAACCAAAAGCCCCCTATTGCACCAAGACCATGTTATGTACCAATGAATAGGTCGTGTTCAATGTCCAGCTAGCTGTTCTTTTTCTACAATCCTCTTAACCGTAATAAATTGGGCCCCCCAATTTATATTGACTTTGGGCCTTTACCTGCAAATATATATTTGCCAATGTCATATACACAGTAGAGCTGCAAGCATACATTCACCAATGCCAAATCCACAATAGAACTGCAAACATATATTTGCGAATGTTATATACACAATGGAGCCGCATGTAAAATTGCTATGGTGCACAAATAAACGCCAAGATGGCTGTTGGAGGAGGCGCTAGAGCAGCTGTCATACCGGAAATACGTCATGACGTTGGCGGAAGGACGTTTGCACTCACCCGGAAGTGGTAGTGGATGGGAGTGGATGGGAGTGTGTTTAGGAGAGTTTAGTGGTAATTTGCAAGTGTATTTTTTAGTTTTGTCAATTGTTCTTTTGTGGAATTCCAGATCACTTCTGGATGGGCGAGATTGCTGTTCTCCACCAAGGAGCTGATCCTCATTTGCAGGGGAAACATTACTAATTGTATTTTCAGTTGAAAACATGTCCAATTCCTAGATCCATTGAGGTACATAGCAGAGGTTCAAGGTTCTTCCTAACTATACAGGTGGCACAGACACAAGCATACACCCAGGGCCACTGTTAGATATCTGGGGGCCCTGTACAGCATACCTGACAGCCCCCCACCGCCAGAGAAAATATCCAAATTATATTTATGGTATGGTAAAAATACACTAAAAATCCCAACCATATTCCTGTGAAATCTAAATGATAAAACTGTACTGAGTTCATAAATAAAGCTGCGTGTGTAATTGAGGTCTTGGGGCTCATTCACATGGGTGCTGTGGCCTGTAGAGTGGGAATCAGTGGTTTGTTTTTGTGGCTATCGCCGTTTGCAGGCAAACCTATGTTACACTATGGAAATGCTAAAGTGCATAATTTGACAAGCATATGGGTGCAGGTGTACAGCCCTTAACACACAGTAAGCATTCAGGGCCACTTCCCCACGCCTTCACACCTGTCAGATTAAAACCTGTGTTCATACAGCTGCTGTGTCCCCATAGTGTAACAGGTTGCTCCAGCCACATGAACAACCCCTCATTCATGCTGTACAGGACCTGTGTGAATGGGGCATTTTTTTTTTTCTCTCAGCTCATTAATTTCAATGGGCTGCCTAACGTGTGGGGAACATGCAAAAATACTGAAGGCATGTTATTGTAAAAGTGTGTTGCACCTAACCGCACAGTAGTGTGGTGCCATGCGTTTTGGTGGCTTTGAATGCATCTGTGTTTACTAGACATGTGGAGGTGCAATTAAGTTTTCATCATGGTACCTGCGCACATCTGCAGAGGGCATTGGATTTCTTTGCTGTGCTGGACAATGCATGCTCTTGCATGCGTTTCTGCACAACAAATGGTGTGAACAAGTCCTAAGCGCCGGTTCACACTATAGAAACAGTCTAGATGTGTTCCAGATGCGTTTTTTCATGCACTTTTTTGATGCATGTTTAGTGTGTTCCAGAGCATTTTGGATACCTTTATGATGTGTTCCACTGCATTTTGGATGCGTTTTTGGTGTGTTCCACTGCATTTTGGATGCGGTTTTGACGTGTTCCAGTGCATTTTTTTTATGCATTCCAGTTAATTTTTTTTCCCCTCTCTTTTTCTAAAATTTGATTAGGGACATGTGCGTTTTAGTGCGTTCCAGGGGGTTTTATCGTGTTCCAGTACAGTTCTATGCGTAAACAATGCAGCCTGTTTGACTCTTTTGGCAGCACCTGCAACGCACTGGAACTGCAAGCGCTGATGTGAACTATGACATTGACAACCATATAACCTTCTTTCTGTGCGTTTTGGATGCAAAAAAAGCAACTGAAACACATGTAGTGTGAACTGGCCCTAAAGGTTATTATAGGTCAGGGAATGGGACTGACCAGGAATTGTGAATTCAATCAGACTAGTGGTGAGATACAATCAGCAATTGTATAATAAT